AAAAGCATTTATTGAATACCTAACACAATAAACAAATCCTTTATCCTTCAACTTTCAGCTGAGAATTATAATTAAAAAATATAAGAAGTCATCCTACCATTCCATTCTGTCTCCCTCTCTCTCTTTCTCTCTCCCTTTTCCTCTTTGTCCCCTACACCTCTCACCCCCAACTAGTTTCTAGCCAGTTGAGAAGAAAATCAAGTTTTATGTTGTAATTTTATACTTTTAAAGTACACTAAATGTAGTTTTTTTTAAAGAGAGAGGAGAGAGAGAGAATTTTTTAATATTTATTTTTCAGTGGACACAACATCTTTATTTTTATTTTATGTGGTGCTGAGGATCGAGCTCAGCGCCCCGCGCATGCCAGGTGAGCGCATTACCACTTGAGCCACATCCCCAACCCACTAAATATAGTTTTAAATCATAGCAGTTTCTCTTTAAGAATGTATTAAGAGCTTAAGTGCAAATGTTTTAGGTTATGATCACAGTTGATTAATGATCAGATGTTAACAGTATTCACACTTAACTCTTTACATTGTTAAGCATTCCATGCATATTGTATGAACAGATGTAAACTTTCTTTTTGTTCCTGAAGCTTCAGGAATATAGAATATGTAATTGACTCCAAAACCTTGATGGGTTGACAGTGAGTACATTGTTTTAAAATTACTTTTTATTTATTTTTTTCCTTTTTGCAATGCTAGAAATCAAATCCAGGACCTTATGCCAGGCAAGTGTTCTACCAGTGAACTACATCCCCAGCTTTTTAATCTCTCTCTCTTTTTTTTAATTTGGTGGTAGTTCAAGGGTTATAAACATAACATAAATTAAATTATGAAAGTTAAACATCATTAATAAGTACTAACTAAATTTATTAGTAGAATTTTTATTGTAAAGATTGAATTTTATCCTAAAGGAAAAAAATAATTGTAATGTGAATGGGTTTCGATTTTATTACTCTTTTCTCTTGAGTCTTGATCTCATTTACTTAAAGAAAATTTTTTTCTACGAGGTCAATGATTTTAGTATTAATATTCATTTAATAAATCTTTTTTTTTTGTACTTTGGTATTAAACCCAGGGGTACTTTACCACTGAGCTACATTCCCAACTCTTTTTATTTATTTTTTTAATTTTGAGACAGGTTCTTGCTAAGTTGCTTAGGGCCTTGCCAAGTTGCTGAGGTTGACCTAGAACTTGTGGTCCTCCTGCTTCAGCCTCCTAAGTTGCTGGGCTTACAGGTGTGCACTACCACGCCCAGCATTATTTTATAAATCTTGAATTTCTGCACAGAACATGACTTTATGCCCATTCAACTGTTTATCAAAGATTTATATATTTAATGATTAGTAGATGGAAAGTGCTCTCCTACATGAGAACATGCATTATTGTGCTCAGAAGTCATAGATTCTTTAATTTTGGATTCTTCCAGAATTTCTTCTGTTTTAGGTGAAATAAACACAAATCTCTAGGGAAAACATTTTAACTTGCCTCTTAAAATGAACTAGCAGATTATCATTTTCAGTACACTTGATTTCTTTGGTAGCTGTGCACATTTGTCATGTCTGTTATCTTCAGTAATATATGGTTTATTACTTTGTATGTCTTTGGAGGGATGGTGTTCTAAATAAATTCAGATGCTAGGTATATTAAAGAAATAAGTTATAATCTACTCAGTTATGTTTTTAAAGAATTCTATTAATAATACCAGGCTTTTTGTTTCATTTCATAAAAATCATAGAATTTCAGAGTTGAAATGGCCTACAGAGGGCAACTAATCCAAACCTCTAATTTTCAAATCAAGTTTCGTAGAATTAATCTTGTTTTCTCCTATTGTCCACCTACCTCAGTTTGTATGAGGAAGATGTTTTGCTATAAACCCTTCCCTTGGGATTTTAAAATTAGAGCTATTCTCTAATTTACAAAAGCAAATTGTTTTAGAAATGTTTATTAGTCTATTGTTTAGATTTCAGCATTTTTCCATAGACACAATAGGGTAAGGTTCTAGGACTAGCCCTTAAAGGTGTTATACCATTATGTGATTGAAATTTTTATCCAAATGAAAGAAGTTTTGAATAATCAGTGCTGGTTATCTCTAGGGAACAGGAGTAATGACATTTTAGAGGAATATGTCAGGGACTCTCTTTTTTTATCTCTTACACTAGACTGGGTATGAGTACACATGTATTCATTTTATTGTGTTTTGGTTTTTATATGCCTGAGATATTTGATAATTTTAACAATGCTGTTTTAGTACTAAAAATTTAGTTAGGATATGAACATTCAGAAATTATTTACCTTGAATACTGATGCTTAAGGGAAAAAAACCAGTTGGATTAGAGAAGTATAAAGAGGTAGCTAGATTTTCTGAAGGGGTTTTATGACTTCTTTCAAGGACTTAGGTTTGATGGTGGTTATCTCATTGTGCAAAGTAACACTTCAGAATATGTTTTTGCTGTTAATTTAAGTATATTGCCACCAGTCTTTTATCTAGCAGCCATATATAGGCATGGTTTTGAGCAAGGAGAGAAGAGTCATTTACTTGAGATAACCGGACAAGTTGTGAAAGGCAGATTAAATTGCAGATGCAAGTACAAATATAGGCAAGATCTTGCTTTGATGTAGTTACTCAAACTAAGGTCTTGTGAAAAAACAAGAAAGTGGGGAAATAAAGCTTGTGCGAGAGCCAAATATGGAGAAAGGGGGAATGAGGAAAACGTGCAGTTAAGCACCAGAAGGGCATCATTGATAGTGAGTGGCTTGATTATTATGGTAAAGAGGGTATATGAAATGGGGTAGGAGCTTTAGTTCAGCCCAACAGTGTGCAAACAGCCATTGGTATTATTGAGATCTTCCTATATTAGGAATTGCATTAAATATTTATAAATATAGGGCTGGGGATGTGGCTCAAGTGGTAGCGCGCTCACCTGCTGACATGCATGCGGCCCGGGTTCGATCCTCAGCACCACATACAAACAAAGATGTTGTGTCCGCCGAAAACTAAAAAATAAATATTAAAATTCTCTCTCTCTCTCTCTCTCTAAAAAAAATATTTATAAATATATATAAGCAAATCAACTATTTATTACATTTTAGGAAACATCTGGGCTAATTTTCTCAATAACTTGGTTACTTATTTGTGTATGGAGGTGTTTTGTTGCTATTGATTATTTAGTTTTTGTTATTTTGCAGTGTACAACATTTTTTTTTATGTTGAGGCATTTATCCAGCTGTACAACCCACGTATAGCTTAGGAAATCCTAAGTATTACTTGCCTTTTGGGGAGAAACATGACTTAAGTGAAGCTTTCCTCACTATATCCATGATGCATATCACAAAGATATGTGTCCATTTTACAGCTATTTGGTATTACCATGGAGAGATTCTTTATTCTGCCTTTTCCAGCTCTTCTTCTGGAATATTACCAAGAAAAAAAATGCCCCCTGAGGAAACTTTCATTGGATTCCATCAGCTAGTTACATAGAATTGTTTGGCAAATCTTGTGACTGGTATCTATATTTATTTATTCAGATTAAGACTAAAGAGGGAACAGACATTTGGTAGAGCACAATTAAACACAGTAAGGGAGTTAGAATAAAAGAGGATTGTTTGAAAAAAGTGTAAAAGCCATTTAAGAAAGAAATGAGGTTGAAGACTTTGGGGGCTTTAAGAAATAAAGATATAAAAAAAGAAGAGAAACAAAGACAGAAACTATTATGGTTTAGTTATGAGATGTCCCCGAAAAGCTCATGTGTGAGACCATGCAAGAAAGTTGAGAGGTCACCTGATCGAGTTATAAAAGCCTTAACTTAATCAGTGCATTAATACACTTGAATGGATTAACTGGGTGGTGAGCATAGGCAGATAGGATGTGACTGGAGGAGGTAGGTCACTGGGATCATACTTTTAGGGTATATATTTTGTCCCTCATGAGTAGAACTCTCTATCTGCTTCTTTGTTGCCATGTCCTGAGCAGCTTTCCTCCTCCCTACTCTTTGCCTTAATGTTCTCCTTCATTTGGGGCCCATAGCAATGAAATTAACTGAGACCTCTGAAACTGTGAGCTCCAGATAAACTTTTCCTTCATTGTGTTGTTATTGTCAGATATTTTGGTCACAGAAGCAAAAAAGCTAACTAAAACAGAAACTTATAGAAAAGGGGGATAAAAATAAAATACAATTTGACTTTTTTTTATTTTTTATTTTTTTATTGGTTGTTCAAAACATTACAAAGCTCATGACATATCATCTTCCATACATTTGATTCAAGTGGGTTATGAACTCCCATTTTTTACCCCAAATACAAGTTGCAGAATCACATCGGTTACACATCCACATTTTTACATAATACCATATTAATGACTGTTGTATTCTGCTACCTTTCCTATCCCCTACTATCCCCCCTCCCCTTCCCTCTCATCTTCCCTCTCTACCCCATCTGCTGTTGTTTAGAGAATTTGACATTTTTAATGGGTAATATAACTTACTTTCTATAGCTGGACCATAAATTTGATATTTTTGCTTTTCAGACATGTGTTCAAAACATAACCAGTTCTATAACATTGCTATGGTTTTAACTTTAGGATTATTTATGTGTTAGTCAACTTTCCATTGCTGTGAAAAAAATATCTGAAATTAATACCTTAAAAAAAAGGAAAGGTTTATTTTGGCTCATGGTTTCAGGGTTTTCAGTCCACAGTCACTTGTTCCTGTTGTTTTGGGCTTATGGCAAGGCAAAACATCGTGGCAGGGAGTGGATGGTGGAACAAAGCTCCTCACCTCATGGCAGCTGGAAAACAGAAAAAGAAGAAGGAGCCAGGTTCCTAATATACCCTTCAAGGCATACCCCCCAGTTACCTATTTCCTCCAACTAGTCCCTACCTTCTAAAGTTACCACCAGCTTCCATAGGGTCATCAGCTGGGGATCATGTCTTCAACACTTGAGTTTTAGGGGACATGTAAGTGTCCACTCTGAAATTCTGCCCCCCTTTTTTCTTTTCAGGTCCCAGAGTCATTAAGAAATGCTACATGGCAGAGATGGGGAAGAGACAATTCAAGACTGTTATTAGATGCTACAAAGGTACGATTAAGCCAGTACATCTACATATAGTAGGAAAAGTGTGGAAGCCCTTATAACATTTTCTAATTTATACTACATATGTTTTATATTTCCCAAATAATTACCCATTTCACATTTTTCTAAATACTGGCACGAAGGTATGTTACTGTTACTAGAAATGTAGAGAAAAATCTTGATATTTTTTCTACCCCTGGAGAAATCTATCTGAATCTCTTGAGATCAGTGCCAACGGGAGTAACATTTTTCATAAAGCTTTTATACAAGTAATGGCAGCTTGTTGACACTTAAATTTATCCTGGTAATTTGTACCTGATATATGGAGTGCTGTAGTTTTTCAAGTGAGTTAAGATTTTCAGATAGCAGAATACCAAGGGATTCTAAGCTTATTAGAGCCCATGGGGTAAGTGGTGCTGAGTTTACATGTTGATGAGGGTTATTTTTCATTGCTAATGTAAGTGAAAGACATCTTTAAAAATTCCCAGTGCTTTAAAATGAGACACGTAAATCTCCACGATAGAAAAAGACTGAAAAATTAGAAGATGGTCTAAATCCTTGGAACTTCTGTATTTTTTATTTCTGATTAATAATTATTTGCCACTAAGGTACAAGGCATTGTTCTAATTTATGCAGAAACTATAGAAATTAATTAGATTTTCTATTATTAAATTAAAGCTTTAAGGGGAAAGTGTGCTTAATCTTATTGCCCATGATACCACTAAATTTATTTATATTTTAGTTTTTTGCTTTGTTGAAGACCTCATTATCTTGTGTGTGATATGCAACAAACCCTTTATAAAAGTTGTTGTTCAGCCTTTTAGAGGAAAAAATGTGTCATAGAGAGGCATTGCCAGACTAAAAATTACCTTTTGATGTTTTTCTTTTACAAAATACTTTAAGGTTGTTGATCTAAAAATCAGTAACCCATTTATAGCAATTGCTTTTTGTGTCTCAACTGGTGAGAACAAGAAGTTACTTTTGCTTTTTTTAATTCCATTTTCATAACTTGGACCTGAGCTGATATTGTTATGTGCTATATATAGTATCAATACATGTTTGTGTTTGTAAAGGACTCTGTCCTGGTTTATTAACTACTGATTATTATGAATACTGAAAAAGCATCATTATGTTAGTTAGCTTTATACTGCTGTGGCAATATACTTGAAAAAATGAACTTAAAGAAGGAAAGGTTTATTTTGTCTCATGGTTTCAGTCCACAGTCACTTGGTCCTGTCTCTTTGGGCCTTTTGGTGAGGCAGAACATTATGGCAGAGAGCATGTGATGGAGCATAGCTGCTTCTCTCATGGCATGTGGGAAAGAGAGACAAACAGGCAAGCAGGCAGGCAGGCACATGGGGGAGAGAGGGCGGGTAGAGGAGAGACAGAGACAGGGGCGGGGACGGGGGCAGGCAGGGGACTGACAAGGTGTACCCTTATCAGACATGCCCCCAGTGACCTGCTTCCTCCAACTGGGTTCCACCTCCTAAAGTTTCCACCACCTCCCAATAGCGCCACCAATTGGAGACCAAGTCTTCAACACATGAGTCTTTGGAGGACATTCCAGATCCAAACTATGTCACTAAGTCTGTGTTCTTAATTAAGTATTTTTTTAATTGTTAAAGCACTTTCAATATTAGCAAGCCTAAATTCTAAGCCTTGTTGTTTGTATCTTGTTAATTATTATAGCAACAACCTAAGGTAAGATAATAAAAAAATTTATAATCGGTAAGATAATAGGTAAGGCTAGTTGGGAGATTTGTAGATAATGCTATTTTATAAGCTAACCTAACAAGCATTCGCCGGTATATAAGACACTGTGGTATGTACCATGGGAGATAAAAAGACAAAAGATACTGTTTCTAATCTTAAGAAATTTACTGTGTAAGAGGAAAGACAAAATGTGCTAACAAATAGCTATAGCACAATATAGACTGAAATATTAAAACGTAATATTTCTAAATAAGTACATTAGCCACAATAATAAGAAAAAGTATCAGTTGTGTAAAATCAACATTTTAATTGTAAGACAAAAATATATGCACAAGAAAAGCAAGTGATATATAAATTAAATATATATTATCCTTGTTTGCCAATAATAGAGTAATAGATTACCAACTACAGTAGTGAATGACAATAATAGAGACAGATTAAGTCAAAAGTGTAATACAAGTTAAATCTTTTAAATATTAATTGCAAAAGCTATTTAGAGAAAGTGACTTCCATGTGAGTATTTGTTATTTCTCAGTATTCCTTATATAAATTTAGCTATAAGTTAATTCTGAAGGTGTATTGCTTTACTATGCCAGGCTAAAATCAATGCCTTTGAATTTGTTTTGGGGATATTCATTAGATTACAATGTTGAATCCAGATTTTTAAACTTCTGAAATTCTGTAAAAGCTAATGGGTTGTTTGGTATCATTTTTAACTAGGCTCTCCAGACATGGCCACTGATAGAAAAGAGGAAATGTTGGCATGGTCACGCTGGTGGAGGACTCCACACAGACCCTAAAGAAGGGGTAAGAGAGAATAGCAAGTAACCGGAAATTCTTTTTGAGGATTGTGCTTACATGGAAGATAGGCACATTTAAGAGTATCATATTCTAATATATTTTGATTGACCCATCAAATTGCATGTTCTTTAATGCAAAACCACATGAACTGACCAATATTATATATATGAAATTTTCTTTGGCTTACAACAAACAAAAATTCATGACTGACTAAAATGGAAAAGGTATTTATTAACCTAAATATTCTTATTTCTCTAAAATAACAGTTTGACTTTGTTATATAATCTGCCCTTATCAATAAATAGGCAAATTAGATTTAGAATTTGTAAATACTTTTCAAGTTTGTGTGTTTGAAGGTTAATATTTTCTCTTTTATATACTTAGATCTTAGAATATCCCCTAGCTTTATAGTAAATCCTCTACCCTGATCCATCTATTTAATTATCCATATTCTTTATCATTATCATTATCATTGTACAAACATGTTAACCAGTAGGGCTGCTGAAATAAAAAGGTTTAATTGCTCTATACTTTTTCTCAGTGAGGGAAAATATCATTGGAATACTGTTACATATTTCCCCATCTGGCCCTTTTTCTTTGAATTCGCCTTTATTTTCTTCCTCTTTCTTGACCCAACCAGTTTGTGTGTGTGTGTGTGTGTGTGTGTGTGTGTGTGTGTGTGTGTGTGTATGTCTCTCAAGTAGAAATGTTTTCAGAGTTGGTAGTCAAGTGAACAGATTTTATGTAAAATTGCTTTATAGATTGTAGAGATCTAAGTAAATATTAGTTATTATTGGTAGGAACCAATTGATATGAGTAAGTTTTCAAATGCGTTTCTTCCTCTTTCCTTCATTTCTAATGCAACTTTTTTTTAATTTCAAGGAACTCAAAAGCGTTTTACATTCATGTTTTTATCCCATTTTTGTATATTACTATCCTTCATGGCTGTCTTTAGAAACAGCAAAGTATCATAAGAGAGAATTTTTAAAAATTAGCCAAGTAGTGACATTTGTTTATCCATGTGTTTATCTTTGGCATGATATTTGACCGTTACAGGATCATCTGTCCCCAAGGCCTCTGAAGGATAGCTGCTAATAATGGTCTAAATATAACTAAGGATATGTTGACTAAGGAAGGACAAGTAATCACTTCTCTTTAAGCTCAAGCAACTTCAGGACAATTTCTTTTCCAATAGAATAGAATAAAGCAAAAATTATTGTGATACTTTATATTTGATCATTATTCTTTTATTCTTTTCCCCCTGCCATCTTTGTGTTAATTTAATCTTGTTAGCCAAATAGAATCATAATAACATTTAGAGGTTATGCCAGAAAAGAGGTAATATGGAGTTGTTAAGAGCCTGAGCTCTGGAACCAGACTGCCTGGATTTGAATTGTGGCCCTATCACTGTATAATGGATGGACCTGCGCAACTTAATCTCTGTGCTTCAGTTACCTCATCTATAAAATGAGGATGATGATAACACTAAAAGGTATTTAAATGAGTTAATTCCTCACACCACATTAAATTTCTCAAATAGTGCCTAGCACACAGGAAGTATTCAGTAAATATTAACTGCTGTTATTATAATAATGTGAGATTGTAAGGTCTATCCTTTACCATAATCCATTCATTTTCAAAGCATGTATTGAATACTTGCTTTGTGCTGAACTCTATGCTGTGTACAGGAAATACAATAATGAACAGGACAAAGTCCCTGCTGTCTAGAAACTTAACATTTTAGATGACAGAATATCTATACTACCATGTAGAAGTTTAATCAGTCTGAGAAATAATACATTTTACCTTAAAATAAACTGAAATCTCCACTGCTTTCCTTTTTATTCATTTCAACTTGTGTATTTTTAACAACTACTAATCAGAATAACATATCTCAGAATTTATTTCAATCATCTATTTAGCCAATGTGTCTATCATAAAGGGTTTGTGAAAAAGGAGTGATAGTTTCAATATTTGAATACTCCTGTTTTTAAAATAGATGAACTAAGGAATTATTTGTTTTGTCATAGAACTTTAGGATTTGGGAGTTTTATTCTTAAATTTACAATTTTAGTTATATCTCTTTGTAGGAGCATCTGTTAGTGAATTTATTCCTGTGTTCTTAATAAAGACACAATGCAGAACTTAATGAAGGGCCTACCTTCTTTTCTTTCTTTTTTGTGATACTAAGGTTTGAATTCAGGGGCATTCTACCACATCCAACCCTTTTTCATTTTAATTTTGAGACAGGGTCTCTCTAAGTTGCCCAGGCTGGCTTTGAATTTGTGATCTTCCTGCTTCAGCCTCCTAAGTAGCTGGGAGTACAAGTTTGAACTACCATGCCTAGCTACTTATTTTTCACTAAGAACTTTGCTTGACATAGTCTTTTTTTATATTAGAAATACTTCTTCTTTGAGTGGATACAATCTGAAGTCAGTATTGCTAAGAAAGATTAGCCAATATTACTGAGAGATTACTAGAGCAATCAGAGAGCTTTGGTACAAATCTTGATGTAATCCGAGGAAGTGAAACAGCAACTTGGAGTATTTAAAATTGGAGGATTGGAAAGATAATAGAATAATGAATCTCTAGGCTTGTTAAAGTGATTGTGCACACAGATGAGAGACAAGAATACCTGGATGACATGGGCAGGCTGTTTTATAACCTGATTTTATACAGCATCAAGCAGCTCTATGATCTTTATTTGATTTCTCAAATTGGCTTCCTTTTGGGATAAAGAATTCACTGACTGGCCAATATGAGCATCAGTGAACTTCGTAGTTATTTTTTTATGGTGAATTAAATGGATTGTCAGGTACAAATCCATTTCAGGTGTAGCATAATCCATTTTTCTCATAGTCTAATCACTACTAGTTAAGCTTTTCATTGAAATTTCAGACCAGCAGAGCTTGGAAAATAAACTGAGTTATAGAGAAAAATAGCAGTAATTGCAAAGCCTTTACTGACAGTTTGTATTTTCCTCAACCATCCCAAACTCATATACCATGTCCCTAAAAATGTAGGGAAAGTTTTCCAGTCACCCTCTTAGTTTTTCAAGTCAAAAGACTACTGAATTTTCTTCTTTTTTTGACCGAACTTCTATCAAGTCATTGTTATCTCTAACAGCATTGAAGTAGTTGTTTTAATTTTTAAATTTTTTTCAGTTGTTTAAATAGGACACGTACCCCCATTGTTTTCATTTTTTATACATATGGTGCTAAGAATCGAACACAGTGCCTCACATATACTAGGTGAGCACTCTACCACTGAGCCACAACCCCAGCCCTTAATTGTTTACTTAAGTCACCATTAGTTTGAATTGAGGAGACAGTTCTCTTCCTTGGACAGTTTACCTATGCCTGAAATTGTGCTAGATTAATTTTTTTAAGGAGAAGATATTCAGCATATGCCCATATTTTTACAAAACAGATACCATTCTGAAATTGTTTTTGTAGTCTTTTTTCTTTCTTACCACAAGTTTTGTTCCCAAGTAGTTTCTTTCAAAACCAATTACTTGCTTTCTGTGAGTTAGTACATTTCTTGCTATTAAAATTTAGAAATGTCTGTAAAGCCAGAATTCTTGGGTAAATTCCTCATCAACTAAGGAAAAGGTGATTCTGTTATCTTTGTCAAAAGCCCATTTCCTCTCTTCTTACTCTTTCATTTTCTTATCCAAGCCTAAATGAGCTTTGCTCCCTTGAATGGAATTGAGTTCTTGGTGGGAAAATTTGCTGTGCTTCATGCTTGAAAATCTTTTCTGGTGAGTGATATCAAGTTACCTACCTGAGAAGCTACTGTCTGAAAGTTCTACCATGTGAAGCACTCTGGATGTTTTGATTTTTTTTAAAGTTCTTGTTCCTAGTCTACATTATTATTAACTATAAATTTTCACTTATGACACATTTGGCCATGAAACTTCTCTTCTGCATGTCACACTGTTAAATGAAGCACTGCCACATGTAATCAGTACAATTTGTGACTTTCTAATTATACTCTATTGAGTCAGGTACTTGCAATTTTATTTATGTACAGACATGTGCCTTACAATGAGGTTTCGTGAACAAGGGACCATATGTACAGTGGTGATTCCGCAAGATTCTAATGAAGTTGAAAAACTTATTGCTTAGTGAACACATAGCTAAAGAAGAGTCAAGAGAAAAGGAAACTACAGAAGAAGAAAAGAAGTAATCCTCAAGAAAATTTGAGTGATGGGTTTAGCAGAAGTTTTTGCAGACTGAACAAGCTCCTTAAAATGTTTGAACACATGACCCCAACATTAAAAGGTTTTCATTAAGAGAAAAGAAGGTTCATGGTGTTTTATATCTGCTTACAAACAAATCTGTGATTAAAAAAAGAAGCAAGCCACCATAGACATATTTCTGATAAAAAAAATTATATCTCCTCAATAAGAGCTTCAGGCAGGTCCTTCAAGAAGGGATTTCAGAAGGAAGCATTGTTATCATAGAAAGATGACAATTCCATGGGTGTTAAATGCATTGCCCCTGAAGACCTTCCAGTGGGTCAAGATGTGGAAGTGGAAGATTTGGTGGTCCTGACCCAGTGTAGGCCTAGATGAATGTGTGTATTTGTGACTTAGTTTTTAACAAAACAGTGTAAAAAAGTTTAAAAAACTTTAACATAGAAAAAGCTTATAGAATAAGGATATAAATAAACTATTTCTCTACAGCTATATAAGGTATTTGTATTTTAAGCTAAGTATTATTACAAAAAAGTTAAAATAACTAAAAAGCATATAAAGTAAAAAGAGTTATAGTAAGCTTAGTTTATCATTAAAGAAAAATATTTTTATAAATTTAGTGTAGCCTATTGTAGAGTATTTATAACGTCTACAGCAGTGTACAGTAATGGCCTAGGCCTTCACATTCACTTACCATTCACTCACTAAAACCCAGAGCAACTTCCAACCTGGAAAACTCCATATTAAGAAACCTAGACAGTTGTACCATTTTATGTATCTATTTATTTTTATTTTTTGTGGTGCCGGG